AGAGAGAGAGAGAGAGAGAGAGAGAGAAGAGAGAGAGAGAGAGAGAGAGGAAGGAAGGAAGAAAAGAGATTCTCCTAGAAAAGATAAATATGAATTAAAACTTTGGAATTCTACAAAAAAAAACCTTGCACAAATACAAATGCTAAGAATAATCTAAATCTCAAATAAATGCAAATATGTTTCTTTTTTTTTTTTTTGGTCTGTATCTCCAGTGCCTCATAGCACAGTGCCTGGTTGATTGCAAATACTTAAGACATGTTTACTGAGTTGAATTAAATTAAATTGCTGGGACCTAGAGAAGATGAATAAGACATAATTACAGATCATGGTATCACAAATTTATATCTGGAAGTGATCTGAGACAAATATACATGTTTAAAACACATAAGAATGTTGAACATCTGGTCACTCTAAAATGACATTTTTTTAAGGGAATTTACACTTTACATGTGAAACTATAGAAAATCATTTAGGTAATTTCAGTAATAGCTACACTATGTTAAATATGTATAAGTACATTCTGGACAATGTATTGTTAGAGACACATATAAAGAGAGCATATAGAAACTGACAGATACTAAATATCTTATTTTTGCATATTGTAATTTACCTATTAAGCAATGAGAACTGTGCAAGCTCTAGTCAGCTTTCTACATCAGGAACTAATTGATCAAAATCTATTATTTCTTTCCTACAATAATTGGAACTTCCATTAATGACCTCTTCTTTCTTCATTTGTGTGTCATGTGATAGGGGCTAATCCTTTCCACATTGGCTTGGTTTAAAATGATGACATGATAATCAATATGAAATCCAATGCAGAACATCTTCCAGAAGAATGGAACTCATGACTAGTACTTTAATGTTACATGAGTACATCCTGATTAATGCTATCACAGCAAATACAAAAGGAATTAACAATGATTAGATTATTATTTTAAATTATCAACCTCCATATCCAATCCACAGTCTCTGTCCAAAGAGGCCTGTTTATCTCTACAGGAGTTCCATTTTGCTTTGTCTCCATAATGGCTTATGCAAAAAAGTAAAAATATCAGTTCCAGGAACTCTTCGTTTGCAGCCCTTTTTAAGCTTCAGGAAATGAGATTTTTTTTCCCTTTCACTGTGAATATAATACCCCATCAGTATTACTGGAAATAATGTGTATGCTAAGGAGATGACAAAGGCAGGACTGAGATGCTCAGTCACCCAAAGTGCTACTGACCTTTTCCTGTGAAGCAATATCATTTAGTGGCACCTGATAAATAGAATTTGACATTATAAGACTAGATCTCACAAAGAAAGAAGATATGTAAATGGAATCTGCTCAGGTCTCTATTTGCCCCCCCACACAATGTTGCTGTCCTATTGACAAGCATACTTCATTAAAATCTTATTCTGATGCCTGACTGGGATTTGGAGTTAACCATGGGCTCCTGAACCTTTTGATTGAGTACAAATGACATCTTTTTTCTAAATGTTCAATTTTTTTGTTTTGTTTTTAAGGAAATAGGCTACACTAGATAAGCACAAGTTGTTGGAAATCCCAACAGGACTGAAATATTTTCAGTGCTTACCTAATAATAGGCAAGCTCCTCACCAGAGAGCTACCAGGTGATTTACTTTCATCCATAATGGATAAATAATGCCTGTGACATGCTTCATTGAAGGATATTCCATTCCAATGAAATCAGGGTGCACAAGTATCATGAGTTGAGTTGAGTAATTTATATGTCCATCTCCAGACTTTTTGGTGGGGTAAAAAGAGGAATGGATTTAAAGTCATGGGACTTTAGTTTGAATCCTCAAGGAATTATTTCTTCTGTGATCACAAGCCACTCACTCTAATTCTTTGGCCTCATTTTTTCATATGTAAATATGTAACATAAAGAGGTTGGGCTTTATAGCCACTCTCATTCTCTCTCTCTCTCTCTCTCATTCTCTCTCTCTCACACATATGAAATTCAATATATCCAAAAGAGAAATATTTCCTTCTTTCCAAACCTATTCATTCTCCAAGGTTTATTACTTCTGTCAAAGGTGCCCTCATTCTTCCAGTCTCTAAATTTAATTACCTTACCATAAGCCTTGCCTCCTCACTCTCCTTCATTCTACATTTCCAACCAGTTGCCAAATCTTGCCATTTTTACTCCCATAATGTCTTACATGTAGCACCTTCTCTTTACATATGTAATTACCATCTTAGTTGGGACCTAGATGAATTTCTTCACCTCAAAATTCTTTCAACTCCAGTCCATCTCCTATACTTCTGCCAAAGTGAATTTCCTTAAGTGGATATCTGACCATGTCACTGTACTCCTCAATAAACTCAAATGGAGCTTCTGGGGGGCAGAGCCAACATGATGTATTAGACAAAAGCACTCAGATAAGCTCTCCCAACATTCTCCTCCAAACAACTTTAAAATAATGCCTCAAATCTAATTTAGGAGCCAAAACACAAGGCAGGGTAAGATATTCTTTCAGGCCAGAGAAATTTAGGAGTTTGGAAAAATACATTTGGGATATGGGGGTGAAGGCTTACCTGCAGCTCATGCTGGTGAAATACCAAAAGTAAGAGTAAGTGGCGGAGACAACAGTAGCAGCAGCTTCAAGAGCTCTCAAGCCAGAGACAGTAAGGTGACCTGGAAATGGGTTTTGGGGATAAGAACCCATGATTTGAAAAAAATTGCTGGGAAAACTGGAAACAAGTTTGGAAGAAACTAGGCATAGACCAACTTATCACACCATATACCAAGATATGGTCAAAATGAATAAATGATTTAGATATAAAGGGTAATATTATAAATTAAGCCTGCACAACACATGGCCTGCAAGCTACTTGCAGCCTGCCAAAGGATTTTGGGTGGCCTGTGAAAATGTAGAGGATGTAAAAGAAAGTAAAGATGTAATAAGCACTTTGTACATGCCCCACTTAACCCGCCTTCTACTAGTAACTATTGTGCCCATCATGACCTTGATGGATGGGTTGCCACTGCACACTTTCTCTTGTTTGTCTCATAACCCATGTCAACCAATCATCAGTCTGTCTCTAATCTGAGAAGACCAATTTCATGATAAATAAAAATCCTAAGTAATAAGTGTAATCATTGAAATTAATGAAATTTCCCTTTTTTAATATGTTTAATTTGCAAAATAGTTTAACCACTAATTATACCTTTAATTGGAAAGTGAGCCACTCAAAACCTACTTGTGGCCTAAAGTTTAACCTATTTTAATTTTGGCCCTTACCTACTGCCAAGTTATGCAGGTCTGTTTTAAGTAAATTGGGGGAGAATGGGGGAAGAGTTTATGACCAAACAAGACATAGAGGATATTCTGGGAAGTAAATTGAAATAAAACTAATGCAGCGAATTGTAGAAGGAAAATAGGAGACGGGGGGGTAGGTGTTGCAGCAAATTATAGTTAGTTTCTCTGCTAAACAGCATTTTCTCAAATATGTAGGAAACTGAGTCAAATGTATAAAAATAAGGGCCAATTCCTAGATGATAAATGGTCAAAGCTTAAGAACAGGTAGTTGTCTGAAGAAGAAACAATTCAGTTGTTCAGTTATTTTTCAACCATATCCAACTCTTTGTCACCCCATTTCTTGGCAAAGATACTGAAGTAGTTTTCCATTTCATTCACCAACTCATTTTACAGATGACGAACTGAGGCAAAGAGGGTGAAGTGACTTGACCAGGGTCACACTGCTAGTAGATATCTGAGGCCAGGAAAATGATGAGGTTTTCTGACTCCAGGCCAGGAATTCTATCTATTGTGCCACCCAGCTGCCCCAAACTATTAATAGTTATAGGGAAAATATTCATTACTGATAGAAAAGTGCAAATTAAAACAACTCTGAGATACTGACTCATATTTCTAAAATTGTCTAACATGACAGAAAAGGAAAATGAAAAATGCTAGAGGGGATGTGGAAAAATTGGGACTTTAATTCACTCTTAGTGGAGTTGTGAACTAGTACAATCATTCTAGAGAACACTTTGGAACTTTGCTCAAAGTCCTATAAAAATGCATGCCCTTAGAGCTAGTAATGCCACTGTCAGGACTGCATATCAGACAGATCAAAAAAGATGGGAAAGGACTTATTTGTACAAAAATATTTATAATAGTTCTTTTTTGGTGGCAAAGAATTGGAAATCTAGGAGGTGTTCATCAATTAGGGAATGGCTGAACAAGTTGGGGCATATGATTGTAATGGAATATTATCATGCTATAAGAAATGATCAGCAGGATGGCTTCAGAAAAAAAAACTAGGAAGACTTACATGAACTCATGAAAAATTAAATGAGCAGAACCAGGAGAACATTGTACATAGTTAACAGCAATACTATAAGGGACTTCACATTTATAATTGATATCAAATTCCTTTCTCAAGGAGTAGGGAAGGTCAAGAGGGAGAGAATTTGAAATTCATTTTTTTAATTGAATGTAAAGTTTTTAACCTCTAATTGGGAGCTATTTAATGAAATAAATAAAATATATTAAAAGTAAAAATAATAACCTCAAGTGGCTCCCTATTATTCTAGAATCACATATAAAATGTTCTTTTGATCTCTTAAAGCCCTATACAACCTCCTGCAACTTCTTTCCAGCTTCGTTTTAATTACGCCCTTGCTATATTATAGGATCCAAATAATCTGGTCTTCTCTGTTTTTTTTTCTCATTCATCATACTTTATTCTCCACTCCCGTGCCCCGAAATTGGATATCTCCCATGCTCTGAATATGCCCCTTGCCTATCTCCATCTCGCAAAATCCCACTGTTTCTCCAAGGCGCAGTTCAAGAACTACCTTCTATATCAAGGTTTTTCTGCTTCCTTCAGATTCTACTGCTGTCCCAAAGTTACTTACAGTAAATTCACCTGCATTGTAATTAATTGTATTTTCTGTATTGTTTATGGGTACATACATATTTGCTGTCTCCCCCATTACAATATAAGTCTCTTAATAGTAGGGACTTTTTTTTTTCATTTTTCACAGAGCCTAGCAAAATATCCATCACAATAAGAATATAAATGATGCTTGTTGACTGACTGATGGTATCATGTGGAGGGAAGAAGGAAGAAGGGAAGACATTATCATAAAGCCAAGCCATTTAGGGGCACCTTTGACATTTTTCTGGGACTTCTTACAGAATGTAAGTTTCATGAGCAAAAGTGATTTTTTTTGTTTGCCTTTACTCTTTGAATATTTCGATACATTAAAAAAATGCATTTTTTTCAACATGGATACCATCTACACCAAAACAACTAATAAAATCCCTCCATGCATTATTAGGCTAGTTCATAACTTGTAGCTACAATTTGATTCTCTAATGTCAGGGTTTTGTGCTTCTTTGGTGACCTTTACTACACTAATTTCAGTTGTTTTGTTGTTTAGTCATCTTTAAAATCATGTCCAGCTCTTGATGATCCCATTTGGTATTTTCTTGGCAGAGATATTGGAGTAGTTTGCCATTTCCTTCTCC